AGCTGAAGCTTAAATACTTTAGCCACACGAGAAGATAGGACTCACTGGAAAGGACTCTAATGCAGGGAAAGATTGAAGGCAAGAGGAGAAAGTGATAGCAAAGGATGAAATGAAAAGATGATGTCATGAAAGCAATGAACATGAGGTTGGACAGACTTCAGGACATTGCAGAGAACAGAAGGATGTGGCGTGCTATGATCCAGGGGGTCACAAAGAGGGAGACACGACTGAACAACCGAATAACAACCAGTTCACTGTACCACTCAACACAATGGCTCTTCCAAACCTTTTCATCCCTCCCCCAACCTCCCAAGGCTCCCCCTCTCAGCACCTTCTTAGCCAAGAAGATTGCCTCGTGTTTTACTGGAAAAAAAAAATGGAGGCTATTTGCTGAGAGCTCCCTCTTTACCCACTCATCTCACTTCACTCACATGACTTTTGCCACTAATTCCTGTGTTCTCCATATCTCACGTGATGAGATGCCCTTCTCCTTGCCTGGGGTAAACTCCTCTACATGCACAAGTTGTCCCATTCCATCCCATCTTCTCCAGTAGATTGCCCCATCACCCCAACTTTGTTACTTATCTTCAATCTCTGTCTGCTGGCCGCTTCCCTACAGCCTACAAACATGCCCATGTCTCCTCTGTCATCGAATACGTCTTGATCCACACATCCCTACCAGGTATCATCCCATATGTCTCCTCCTTTTTGTGGTCAAACTCCTTAAGAAGGCTGTCTACAATAGGTGCCTTCACTTCCTTTCCTTTCACTCTCTTCTTAACTCTACAATCTGGCTTTCCACCTCATCATTCAACTGTTCCTGTGTTCTCCACAGTTACCAATCATCTCTTAATTGCCAAATCTAATGGACTTTTCTCAGTTTTCATCCTTCTTGGCCTCTATGCCACCTTTATACTGTTAATCACCTCCTTCTCCTTGATAATCTCTTCTCTTTAGGTTTTCCTGAAATACTTTTTTCTTGTTTTCCTCCTCCTTATCTGACTTTTACTTCTTAGTCTCCTTGCTTTATAATTCATCCAGGCTACATCATAAGGCTCTGTCTTGGGATCTCTCCTCTTCACTCCTTACATTGTTTCACTTGGTGATCTCATCAATTCCCATAGATTCAATTATCATCCCTAAGCTGAGGATTCTCCAATCTACTTATCTACTCCTAACCTCTCTGCTGACCTCCAGTCTCACATCTCCAAACGCCTATTGGGCATCTCTAACTGGATGTCCTGTAGACATCTTAAACTCAGCATATCAAAAACTGAACTCATTGTTTTTTCCCTCAAACTCTCCCTTCTTCCTAACTTCCGTATCACCTTTGAGGGCACCACTACTTTTCCTGTCATCTACATTTGCAACCTAGGTGTTATGCTTGTTATCTCAGTCCCTATATGCAATCTGTTGCCAAGGCCTGTCACTTTTCCCTTCATAAGATCTCTTGCATTTGCCCCCTTCTCTCCTCTTACATAGCCACTACCCTGCTATAGCTAATTTCTCATCATCTCACACTTGAACTATTACAATAGGCTATGAGTTAATCTTTCTGCCACAAGTCTCTCTCTATTCCTGTTTATCTTACATTTAGATGTCAAAGTTGTATCCTTAACCACAAGTCTGACCATGTCATCCTCTCTAGTCAGAAAACAACAGTGGCTCTGTATTGCCTCCAAGATTTGGGAAGGAGGGCAGAATAATAAAGATTTTTCTCCATTTACTTTCTTCTCTTCTAACTTTAGCTTCATTGGTTTTGTTTATGCAAAAACTTTCTAATCTTATGTAATCAAAAGTGTCCATTTTACCTCCTATGATCTTCTCTATCCCTTGTTTGGTCATGAACTTTCCCCCCATCCATTAATCTAACAAGTGATTTCTTCCTTGCTTCTCTAATTTGTCCACAATGTCAGACTTTTTAAGTTCATCTTTGTCATTTTGATAGGTGTGAGGTGAAAGCTCAGTGTTATATGTTTTAATGCTCATTTATTTTATTAATTATTACTCATGTGGAGCTGTCTTTCATTTACTTAAGAGTTTGTAGTTCTTCTTTTGAGCACTTTCCATGTCTTAAAAAAAAAAAACTGTGTTTGCTAATGAGTTTCCTGTGCATCTATATTAGCCTTTTTCAGCCGATCTCTTTTTTCTTCCTTGTTGGCATCATTGCTGTTTGATGTGTTATTTATTGGTGACATGTTTTGCAAATGTTATAAAATATATCTCAGTTGAATGGGAAAAGTGATATGTAAGCAAAATGCCTTGTGAAATTTGAAGAAAAATAGGCCTTGTGGGAAAAGCCACTGAAGGACTACTGTAGTAGAAAATGCAAGATACAAACTAAATGTAAGAAACCTCTTTTATTTGAACCCCATTAGTTCAGTTCAGTTCAAGAAACATTTATTAAGTATGTGCAATATGAAGAAAATTGTGCTAGTTGCTAAGAATACAAAAACAAAAACAAAAACAGTCCCTATTACTAAAAGTAGAGGCAGTTGAGTGGTGCAGTGGATAGAGTGCCAAAAGACTACTTTTCCTGAGTCCAAGCTGGCCTCAGACATTTGCTAGTTGTATGACCCTGGGCAAGTCACTTAACCTTGTTTGCCTCAGTTTCCTCATCTGTCAATTGAGCTGGAAAATGAAATTGGCAAACTACTCCAGTATCCTTGCCAAGAAAACTCCAAGTAGGGGCACAAAGTCAGACACAACTGAAATGACTGAACATCAAATAATTTTAACATTTAAAAAACCCACCTGTGGCATTTCTCTCATTCTTCATGGTCTTTTGCATAACATTGGCAGCACCTTAATAATCATATTGCCCCCTTTTCCCCCTTATAACCTGGTGTACAATTTAGTCCTGAGATCGATCATCAAAGACTCCAGACAGCAGATAGCATCATATCTGAATTACTTGGGACAAGTAATAGTTTTGACATGGTTCCATTTTGTGAATAGTCATGTATGTGCCTCTGCTGACACTAGGCTGACTCAGAGTATCTAGCTTAACCAGATGAAAACTGAATTTATCTACTTCCCCCACATTTAATTAATTCTCTGTCAATTGAGTAATGGGGATTGTGATATACCTACATTTTTAGTTGCTCTCTTATGTTGTATTTTTAATTCTTTGGTTTTGAAGAATGACATTACTTCAAGAAAGCATGCAAAATGTATAACTCTTTAAAGAGTACACATCAATAACTGTAAGAGATATTGCAAAGGTTGTTGGTGTAGAAGGCAAGAGTTTCAAGGATTATTCGGGTCCACATTGAAACCAAATAAGTTGCATCAACGTACAAAGGAAAGTGCAATTGAAGAGTTAAGATGAAACTAAAAACTGTCAAAGTATTATTGAAAAACAGCCTAATTAATCTTCCCAAAACAAGCAAAGATCTTCAGAGTGAACAGGCAGGTGGTATGGTTGTTATTGACTCCTTTGCAACTTGGAAGAACAGTGAAAAGACCAGTTTTTTTTTCCTTAAAAGGTTGCTAACCACTTTTTTTTTAAGAAACAACAATTATCATAGTCAAGACAATACAAAGATCAGAGTACTAAAAATTGTGAAATGATCATTTTTACTAAATAAACTATACCTTTTTTCTCTTAAGGGTATATCAAAACCATTGTCAGAAATTCAGAAGAGCATATAATATATGAGTGTCTCCATTAGGCTTTAAAACATTCACCCAAAATAATGTTTAGGCGGTTTTTATTTCCAGTGGGCCTGGAGGAATTGGTGAAGTCTAATAAAGGTATTGATATGCTGAAACATAGAATTGCCCTAGAATTATAGAAATTCCCAAATAGAGATTGAATGCTGCATGAAACGTGGTCTTACTCTATGTCACAGATCATGAAAGGTTAAGAAAGTTATCCAAGATGGAGATAAACATGCTTCATCGCCCTTGGAATTTGCTTGATTAAAACCCCACTGAAAACTGATGGGCTATAATCAAGAAGCTGGGAAAAAATGGACTTGTTTATAGGGTTTTGTGATGAATTAAAATGTGTCAAGGTTTTATGAACTTAATGAAGTATTGTATAAAACAAGTGATTACAACTAAAGGATATGGTAGCTTTAAAAGGTTTTAAAGACATAAAAATTCATAAAGTTTATTGTATAAGCAATACATTGAGTTATTTTACTTTGTCCCAGTTAATTTGAACACTATTGTAGATACTCTCTTACTGTCTCCTTACTTATCTTAGGTTTCAAGTTTCTATCAGATATTTTTTGTTTTGTTCTTTCCACCCCCAAAATACTGCTCTTCAGCAGAGAAACAGAAACCAAAGAAGATGATTTTTTTTCTGCCCTCTCTGTCATCAGTGATCACTCTCCTATCCAATACAAGTACCAATCCTTTTCCTTCTTGATCCTAATTTGGTTTATCAGTTCTCTATGTATCCATACTGGTTTTTTTAAGATGGCTCCCCATCCTTCATCGTGGGAATTAGAGTCAATTTTTATATGTTTGAAAGAATTAGTGAAAGCATGTAATTGGTACCAAACTCTTTTATGGCAAAGTATAGCCATGATGTCTATCAAAATAGGTATTATGCTGAAAATTTCATATGACTTTATAACAATATTATCCCTAATGCTAATTTTAAAAAAGAACAGCAAGTGTGATAATTAGGGGTTGTGAAGGTTTTTATCTCTAAGAAATTAGAAAGAAGCTTTGATTGGGAATACTTATCAATAAATTAAGGTAATTAACTCTCTTCCAGGTCACTATTACTGTCCTGTGATACTCTGATATTTTGTTAGATTATATTTTATTTTTAGCAATTAATTGGTTAATTATATAGCTTGGAAGACATGAAAGTGTTTAGTAAATTGCTAGAATAAAAAGTTTTCTTTATGGAAAACAGAGGCTATCTCTTAGTCCATAGCATAAAACACTTTTAGTAGCAAATTGGCCAGGTTTTTAAAATTCATTAACGGTCATTATTTCCTACTTTTACTTACACTTGGTTTAAAATTTTTCTGTTGCAGGAATCTTTACGAAAGGACAGCTGAGTCTTGTAGACCTCATCCATCAATATATTCGTTATGACGAGATCCATGAAGCAATAAGCATCCTAAGCAGCATGAACTGGAATACTATAGGCCACCAGTGTTATATGAGCATGAGTGCTATTGTAAACCATCTTCTTAGACAACGGCTAACACCAGAGAGAGAAGGTCAGAGTTAAACTGTAATTCATTAATGCATCACATCTATGAAATAATTTTCATCCTTTTTTCCTCGTTGTTGTTGTTTATTGTTGGTTTTTTAGTTTTTTGGAGGCAATTGGGATTAAGTGACTTGCTTAGGGTCACATAGCTCATATGTGTCTGAGGTCAGATTTGAACTCAGGTCCTCCTGGCTCAGAGCCAGTGCTCTGTCCACTGCACCACCTAACTGCCCCTATCCTATTTTTATGGTTTTACTTTTTGAATCTTCTAGTTTATTGTGAACTTAAAAAATCACCAACAAACAAGAGCATTGTTTATGAAACTGTGAACTTGTTGCAGTTTGGGTTTTTTTGGTTTGTATCAAATTTAACAGCTGTAACATAATAGCCCTGTTTGTGTACTCTTCTGAAATATATATATATATATGTGTGTGTCTGTGTGTCTGTGTGTATAATTTTAATCAGTTATTTTTTCTTTGATCCTCATAAGAGCCAATAAGTAAAGCAAGCAATTCTAAAGCATACTGAGGTTAGGGTATTAGCTGCAGAGATGAGTCTTAAACCCAGTTCATCTGATTTTGGATACAGTATTCTTTCTACCATTCTATGATCCCCGAATCATAGATTTCAAGCTAGGTGAGTCCTTAGAGGTCATTTAATCCAGTTTCTTCATTTTAGAGATGAGAAGCAGAGATCCAGGTAACCACTGGCACAGTAGATGATAGAGTTCTGGACCTGGTTTCAGAAAGACCTGAGTTTAAATCTAGCCTTAGTCACTTCCTAGTTGTGTGACCCTGGACAAGTCCCTTCACCTCCATCTGCCTCAGTTTCCTCCTCTCTTGGGGTAATAATAGCATCTTCCTCCCAGGATTATTGTGAGGATTAAATGAGATACTTGTAAAGCATTTTGCAAACCTAAAACACTATATAAATGCTATTATTATTAGCAATTAGTAAGTGCCTAGCCCAAAGCTACACAGATAGTAAGCAACAAAACCAGGATTTTAATCGTTTCTCTAACTCCAGGTCTAACATACTTTCTACCACACCATATTCGATGCTTCTTCCTTTGTTGTTAATTTATTCAACTAATATCAAATATACAGTTGCATTAAAAAGTAAAAATAAAAAGACTGTTTTTGTAGTCGTCATTTGAGACCAGGAGAGGGGAAGTGATTTACCCAAGTTGATGCAGGTTGTAAGTGGCATAGCTAGGGTAAAGAAACCAGGTCCTCTATCTCCAAACCTGGTGCCCTTCCCATTATACTGGAGTTGTCTCCATATCACAGAAGGTGCTCATTTAATCTTTTGGTATATAATCTTGGAGTATTTCTAGATACTCCCACAATTGGCTCAGGGTTCTTCCATTTTCCACTCATAGAAAGATTGGACCACCTTGAAGGGCAAAGGGGCATTTGCCCGCTATTGCGAAGGCGGCCTTACCTGGAGTAGTTTTAGAAACCCAAAAGAAAGTGGCAACAACCCACTGCCTTGGTTAGTCTACACCATGGGCATTTCTCAACTTGCTCTGTGGCAGTGATCCAAACAATTCGGACTACTTCCAATATTTCTCTCCACTTAAAAAGAATATGTTAGCAGCTAATGAATAATAGTTCTCATTTACATGGTACCACATAGTTAGACAAAGCTTTCCTCAAAACCACCCTGTGAGGTAGGTAGTATTGGGACTGTTATCCTTATTTGAGAGATGAGGAAACGGAGGCTTAGGTTAAATTACTTGCTCAAGCTCACACAGCTAATAAAAGCTGGTAGGAACCTTCGAGTTCCTCTCGTCCAACCCCTTAATTTTATAGATAAAGAAACTGAGGATCTGAGAGATTAAGGGATTTGTGAATCAGCCATTAAGTGCCAGTCCTGGGCTTTGAACCTGGGGCTTCTTCCTTTCCACTTTGCTGCTAGTTATGAATATAATATTTCTGATATCAGCATGTGGGCACACTCTAGGATCAGATGTATACCATTGAGTGGTGAAGCTCCCAGAGACCTTTGCTGTTATCTGGGCCTCTCGTCGTCAGGCCCCAAACTTAGTTTGAGGAGAAAGGATTAGCCTTAAGAAGGGATAACAAAGAATGACATTAGCCGCCGTGTGGAAATTTCAGGGGCATTTACTAATTTGCGATATAACAATATCTTAAAAAATATAAAACTTACATGAAACTGGAATATAGGCAATATGCAACATTATAAGTAGGTGGTTATGTTGTTTTATTCCCCCCCTGGATCTGACAGACACATTTCTAAAAAATTCAGAATTCTTTTCAGCCAAGATTTATTCCATATCTAACCAATTTGCCATGGTAATGTTTTCCTTTTATTAAGGAACCCCAGTGAGCCCTTTTATTTATAATAATGTTATAGTTATCTTTGAGATCTTCCTCTCTGCCTTCAGTATCAAGCTGGGCTATCTAATGAATCTGTATCTGTGCTGATGGTTACTTGTATTCCTTGTAGGTTGGAACATTTCAGATGCACAAAACATACTGTCAAGAAAACAAGCAACGGAAAGAGGATCCAGCTTGTTTTTGCAGTAACATTGCAATATTCCATTTTAATCTAAATTGACTGCTGCTTTGAAAGAAAATACCCTTGAAATTCAGCTTATCTTACACTCTAAAAGTGAGATAATGAGAAATTTAATTTACCAACAGTTTGGCCAAGTTCATAGCAATGCTTTCAGATCTGACAAACTGGAAACATCATAATTGTGCCTAGATTTTCACTAAATGTTAAAATGAAACATTCTAATTCATGGAAGAATCGTGACTTTGACCTTTCTCTGAGGTATAGTGACTGGCCTTCCAGTTCTTCACTGTCCATCCCTCCTACGACCCACCACTACCTTGGCTTCAACTTCAGTTCAATTCAGGAAGCACTTATTAAGCACCTACTATGTGCCAGGCACTATACTAAGCACTATGCATACAAAAAGAAGCAAAAGACAGTCCCTGCTTTCAAGCGGCTTACAATCTAATGGAGTTTCTCCAAGACCCATAAAAATCTATCCGTGGAAGTTTCATTCACACTAAAGTATAAATGACTGCTAGCAACCCGAGCTGGGAGGATGTTAACATTTTAATAGAGTCTGGAACCATGGACTAGAAGAATAGAACATTCATTCTAGTTGCATTTCAGGCTTTTGTCAACAGATCATATGGGCAGGACTTGATGCCCTTGAAATCACATTGTGCAAGCTGTATGCCTACACCTACTCTGCCTACACATAATTGTGGTGCTATTTCTAATGCTTGCATTCATTTGTTCACTTAAGCATTAGTGCACAATGTACCGATTCCACTCCCCTGTCAGGAAAGGGAATTTTTCCTCCCTTTGGTTAAAGAGAGCAAATGTTAAGTTTGTGAGCTGATTTTACTGGAAAAACTTGTTCAAACTGTGTTGCTTTGATGAGTCACTGTTTTAATTACCCATTTGCGGTGAGAGGTTGATTCATTATGGATTTCTTCACTTTTGACAGCTTTTTGTTGATCAGAGTCATTGTCAGCTTAGCCTTAAGTGAAAGTTTATACACAGGTTTGTTTTTGTACCAGCTGTCATATTTTAATTTCATCTTTCCTGCAACAAGCTCATATTTCATCTAAGGCGGCAAAACCTGACTGACTGCAAACATGAGTGCTCGCTTGTAATTGAAGCAGCTTTCCTTGTCTCAGCGCTGTTTCTGTTTGAACTCCACAGCACAGCTTGAGGCGAGCCTGGGATCCTTCTATGCTCCAACAAGACCCCTCTCCGATACAACTATATTGGAATATAGAGACCCAATCAGCAAATACGCAAGGAGGTTCTTCCACCACTTGCTCAGGTGATCCGTGGACAGTTTTTCACTTTGATTAGTTTCAAAATTAATTGCACAGTTCAGGGGTCATATGTCTTAATTAAAGTGTTCTTTAATATCATTATCTCTTGTTTTCTTTTTATCAGTCCACTCTAGGAAGAAAAAGCACCTACCTTCCCCAATCATTGTTTGCTTAATTGGTTCTTGTTTTCTTTTTAAGCATTATAATGGAGCATTGTGGAGGGCCCTTCCCCCATTGATACCTTTTAATATGTCACCTTTTCTCTTTTCTTTTGGGAAAAGGATGATCACATATATGGTCAATTTTTAATTTAACTTAGTTGTATTTCCAGCACAAAGGAGACTTGAGAGTTTTAAAGGAATACTAGCAATGCAAATAAGTAGCCTGTCAGCCCAGGATGCTTTTAACTGGAAATCTCTAAAATGTAAATCATTTACTTCCCTCCCTTTCAGAATTATTATTGTGGAATGGCTCTTCTGTTGTCTAGTCAGGTAATGTCATGTAACTTTACTGTATCTAATCTGCAATGCTAAGGAAATAGGGAAAGGAAGACATTCTTTCACCTCATTCAGACTTGTGACAAAGAATTAAATAATGTAAGTAACAAAGACAAAAATACTATAAAAAGTCAAGATATCACCACATATAAGATGAAATTATTTTCAATGCCATACAACCAGAAGGAAAGTGCTATTTCCAAATGATAATTTCACAGATAGACTATTATTATTATGTCTTTAAGAATAATACTTTAATTTTTTTTCAAATTAATTTCACATCTTTCATTTAATTTGTTTTCAGTAAATCTATGTGGTAGGTATGGTGATCATTTCACCAGTTAACAAACTGAAGTACAGGGAAATTAAGTGACTCAGGCAGATAGCAGCAGGGTCTCTTGACTCTCAATCCCCATTCAACTGAACATGCATTTTATTAAGTGCCTACTAAGTGCAAAGCCTTGAAGATGCAAACACAAAAACTGAAATAATTCCTGCCTTGAACATACATGAAGATAAGTAAATACAAAATAATTCTGTCACCTGATAGTGTGGTAGATAAAATGCTGGACTTGGAGTTGGAACACTTGGGCTCAAATCTCCTTTCAGATATTTACTAGTTGAGTAATCGGGGACAAATTATTGAACCTTACACAGTCTGTTTCCTCATCCATAAAATGGGGATATTAATATTTTCATACTAACTTCCAGGAAGGCAGTATGAAAAAAGTGATTTGTAAACTTGAAAGCGCTGTATAAATATGAGTTTTCATTTTTATTTTCTACCCTCTATACAAAGTGATTACTGGAAACTTTCACCTAATAAAGAATAGAATGAATGGCAGTCTTTGCTGTCTGTCCACATACTCACCCTTTAATCTCCCCCTCCTTCCTCTCTCCCCCGCCAAAAAAAAAGGACACAAAGAAACTTTGATTGGCATGAATACTTACTATCTGTTCAGGTACTTTGGAACACTGAATCAGGATACATGGGGAAAATACTGTGCTGTAGTTTTTCATTTTCCATAATTAGGCTTTTGTTTTCAATATGGTGTTTTAAACTTTGACTAGTGAATGAGGCTGAGAAAAACAATGTGTCCTTAAAGGTGCTGAAGTGTTCATATGTTTCTAGAATGTGTTCTTCAGCTGAATACTTTTTCTGAATGACTCAAGGTTGGTGTATTCCAAGTGATTTCATATAGGATGAGTCAAGTATCTATGCAAGTAAGAAAGTGCCAATAACATATGGGACTTCTATTAATATTTTGACTTAGGTAGTTGTGGAAATCTGTTTGAGATTCATTACCTAAGTTATACAGAAGTCTGACTTGGTGGGAAAAGGTATTGGGTAATAGAGGAAGAAAGGAGAGAAGACGAGGACAACCACCTGCAGATTCTCCCTACCTGCCATGCTGCTCCACACAGAAATAGATGCTCTTTTATTTTTCATGTTTCTTGGGCAAAGTCATTTTCTCACCTCCCTCCTAGAGGACCTGACTATAAAAAGGTGAATGACAAAGAAGTTTAAATTCTCCTTTCTGGCTCGTCTCATAGACATCCTACTGCTGTGGCCTTGGGCTGTTGAACTTCACATAGTCTGCAAATATGAGACTTTGGAGGGTATTGATTTATTTTTAGTAGTGTAATTCTGTCTCTAGTACAGCACCCTGTGAGCGGCTACATAGTTGTTGGGATTAAATTTTTAAATGTATCTTTTCCATGTGGTTGCTTCTGTAATTGTACTTTTTTCCCTGAGATGTACTGGATTTTTGTTTCCTTTTCCATATCTTAACTACTGCTCCAGTTATAATGATTTTTATTAGTTCTTCTGACAGTAGGCCACACATAAGTATTATGGAAAAAAAAAGATTAAATACAGAGAAAATTAAAAGAGATTGCTAAGTCAGAAACATATTTTTTGTTTAAACTACTGCCAGGTTTGTCTTCTGCTTAGGGGGAAAGGAACAGATCAAGTGCCTTTTTACTTTAGTGAATTATGAGTATAGCATCCCCTCCCCCCCTAGTATTTTCATTTGGTTGTTCATTACTTTAACATAAAATTATGAAAAAAACTGTTAAATATCTAAATGCTCAGTCGGGAGCAAGCATGAAGATTTTTAATGTTAGTTTGAGGCAACAATCTTGACATTGCTTCTGTAACAGCACCAAAAATATTTGCATGGCATCTGTGTTTCTTAAACTTAGGTACAGAGAGTTTAATTTTTTTTGTTTTGGTTTTTCTTTGATTTTGCTGGTTTCTAATCTTTATTCTAGAAAATATGCAAATCACAATTCTCACCACTTTGAACTTTGTGCCCAGAAGACTGTACAGTACTGATCTCCACACAGGTCCAAGAAATCTTAAGTCTCAGCCACTATCTTCCCATGCAAATTTAAGCAAGATTTTATGCTTTCAAGATCCTGGGTTCTCTAGCCAAAAACAATACTGACCAATTCTGTATCCTTAAATGCAATAGCCGCAAGGAGTTGCTCCACACATTCCACCAGATATTGTAAGGGTTTTATGATTCAACTGTAGTCCAAAAGTTTTGTAATCTTTTTTTTAAAAAACTTGTTTGTATTTCTAATTGTTAACGTTAGTGTATCTCTTTCTTATATTTTTCCTCTTTGGGTCTTAAAATGCTTACTAGTAAAACTACATTATGGTTTTAAAAATTCGCCCACTTTAATGCATTTCAGGTCAAATCAAATCAAATTTATTCTTTACTTATAAGGGCTGAGGTACTTGACCTAAAGAATCTGTTTTCAGACATAGGAAGACAACAGCTTGGCTTAGTGGGTAGAATGCTGACTTCAAGTCAGGAAGACCTGAGTTTGAATCCTGCTTTAGACACTTATGACCTGTGTGACCATGGGCAAGTCATTCACAGTTTCCTCATTTGTAAAATGGGGATAGTAGTTCCCTCATAGGGTATCTGTGGTAGGATCAGATGAGGTCATGTATATAGAGAATTTTGAATCTAAAAGGTGGTGCAGTACAGAGGGAACCGGGCCTGGAGTCAGAAGGACCTGAATTCAAATCCAGCCTCAGATAATTTAGCTGTGTGAACCTGGGCACATCACTTATTATCTCTCAACCACATTTACTCATTTGTAAAATAAGTGCATTGGACTCAATGGCTTCTAAAATACCTTCCAGGACTAAAATTATGACCTCGTGATTCTAATAGAGGAGATGGGAGGGCAAAGATTAGGAAATATTTCCTCTTTACATGCCTTTCCTAGTCATCTGTATCTCTGCATTACCCAAGGAAGCAATGTTCATAAAGAGGAAGACTTCATGTGATAACCAAGATACTAAATTATAATAAAATTTTAGAACTGGAAGGGACCATAGAGCTATTGTTCAATTCTCTTCTTCCAGAAGAGAAAACACAAAGAAACTAAGTGATTTACCCAAGAATCAACAGTTAGTTGATCAGACCTGGAACTAGAAGGCAGATCTTCTGATTCTCAGTTTGGTTCACTTAATAAGTCTTTTAAAAATGTCCCAAGATTTTAGGTTTACTTGGCATAAAAAAAGAGAGGCAGTGTAGGCATAGCACAGAGGGTAGACACCTGGTCTGGAAGATCTGGGTTTAAGTCCTGCTTCTGATATGTACTGACTGTAGGACTCTAGGCATGTAAGTCACTTAACCTCTCAGTACTCTAGGTAACTCTCTGGGGCTCTACATTGCAGAGAAAGTGCTCACCTGCATTGGTAGAGGAACTTTCCTCTCTTGGAAGTTCTTTTTACCAATGAAATCACAGTGTCCAGTCCTTCTCCAAGCCTAGGATGTAAAGCTAAAGTTATCACATGAATGACTAACAGTAGAAAGATAGACCTTGGACAATCATGTGGCTTCTTAAAATTAGTTTGTTCATACCAGAGGTGTCAAATTCTGCTGTCAGTGAACCAGATTAAAATGTAATTGGGAAATTTTCTTTAATATAAAAATACAATAGACCATAGATAATGTTAATTTAAAGAATCAGAAAGACTCATCTTCCTGAGTTCAAATCCAGCCTCTGACTCGCTATGTGACCCTGGTTAAGTCAGTTAACCCTGTTTCTTTAGCCTGCTCATCTGTAAAATGATCTGGAGAAGGAAATGGCAAACCACTCCAGTATCTTTGCCAGAAAACTCCAAATGGGGTCATGAAGAGTTGGACATGACTGAAAAACACTGAACAATGAGAGTCAATATGGGCTGCAGTGATCCTTATGTAAGTTTAGTGCCATCCCTGCTTCTATGTGAGTTTGATGACACTAATCTTTTAGCAATGGGGAAATTTCTTTACTGTCTCTCTCTCTCTCTCTCTCTCTCTCTCTTTTTTTTCGCTACAAGTATAATAAATTGCCTTGATGACCTCATTCATAACCTAAATCCAAGCTTAACTTTAAAAATGTAATGTCTCATGGTTTGAAGTATAGAACAAACATCTTCTTTCTGGTTACATATTTGAGGTTGTCAGTTTTTTTCTAGGGAAATGTTTTTTTGTAAACAT